ATGGTAGAGTGGGTCATGCTCAAAAAATTTCAGCACTCCCACTGCTGCGCTTGCAAAGTCACAAAACCTGTCAGCGGCACGTGCAAGTTCACGTGCAAGTTGTAAGGGAAGCGTGAAAATTGTCCACACACGTACACCTGCCAACCTGGTCGTGCGTGGGCCGTGCTACTCCAACTGCTTTTTTTCAATGGGTACAAACAAAATTTGCTTCGGTTTATCATCCCCGACACTTAAATATGGCAGTTTCACAGCGGACACAACCCGTGGAGGTCTTCCCCTTTTCCTCGACAAAAAAAACAGCACCGCGAAAGCACAGTTCCCACTCAACCCAATCCTCACGCTGATTTATGGCGCCAGTTTGAATTCTGATTTACACGCGTACGTGAGAGCTAAGTGTGAGTCGAGGCTAAATTTAAATTCGTTGGATCGGACATAGGCAATGAAAATTTCCGTGAAATTTCAATGTCCTAGCTTGTCCGGTTCCCGAAATCATTTCCCAGCCAAAATATCTTCCACGTATCTGCGTGTGCATGTGTGTGCGTATAAACCCGGAGTACGTGAACGTGCATTTTATGCCTAAGAGTCCGTCAATAATGGTGGAATAAGCTACTGGAATTTCAGCTTCATAAGTTCTATAAGTATGGAGACCGAAATATGCATACATATGCATACCTATGCACGTACGCGCACACATGCACAAACATGTACACGCACATACGCAGTACACCCCTCTACAATACGTTTTTTTGCACTACAATGTGTGTTTTGGCATTGACGGAAAATGGTTTAAAAGCAAATACACAGAAAAATCTGGAGCAGCACTCCTGAAGAGTCTTACCGAATATTGAACGCGACATGTTGCTGATGATTCTGTAGACGAAGATGACACACAAGAGACGACAAAGGACTGAAAAAAAAAACCAAGCATTGAAACTGTACTACGACGGGGAGGGAGGTGGGGGGGAAAGAGAGAGGGGTACAGCCAGGCAAAAACTCCGGTTCATCGTCCACAGCAATGCGAATGTGGCCGAAACACAACACGCCAATCCCAAAAACGTACATTTTCGCAGAAATTACCTATTTCCTTTTTACCCA